GTTCAATTGCTTTAGAATTTTAGTTGACAAGCCAAACTAATTTTCTGTATTTTCATCTTAAACACTATCAGTGTATAATTCACTTATTCCTTTTCTTGTCTCTCTTTCCTTCTTCTTTTTTTAATCACAACAGTATCGATGTATTATACACTTACGCTGTCATTGAGTTTCTGCAGTTGTATCCTGAACTTCCAATACTCGCCTGCTATATTGTATTTAGGCCTACTCTCAATAAATGTCTGCTTTTTGCATATAAGCCTACTTCCAAATAATCATCTGCTTTTTCTAAAAGTACACACTAGCAGGCTCAATTGCATTAGAACACCCTTTGATGAGACAAATTATTGTCTCATGTTAGAAAACTGTTAACCTCACTTAAACCTATCAACCGTTAGGCTATTCACTCTTACGACCATTAAATTTATGTTTTCTAACCAAAACTCTACTTCCTGTGACTTTACTTTCTCGTCTGCTTTGTCTGTCTGCTGTTCCTGCTTGTCTCACACTATTTATATATTCATCACTTAATTGTGTGCTCACCTTCTCGAAATCTCTATATTCTTGACATCAACGAATTTCATGTGATGTTCGATAGCCTCAACATCAATGAATTATAAACACAACTTCCAATAATCATCTGCTTTTAACTCTCTTATTATAAAAACAACTAAACAATTATGAACTATTAACTCACAAAATAATTAATTCACACTACCTACTATAAACAGTCTTTTATATCATGACAGACTTGTTAGGTAGCAATTTCTACTTGATTTTTAGTTATAGTTTTATTTATGTAATTTTCTTTCTATTTTTTTAGTTCAGTTATATTTTTACTTGCCTTAAAAATGCTAGCTCACTTGCCACCAAGTGTACATTAAATATTGAGTCATTCTAATATTAAGAAACTAACAAATTTCCCCTAGATGTCAAATGAATATTAAGTTTCTAAATTATATAAAATTACAAATTCTAGTTATTTGATATACAATTTCATGGCATATAAGGAAATAAAAATGTCTGCTCTGAAAATAGGACTAGTACAAGAACAAGTTATAAACTAAGTGATACACAAGACATATTTGTTCATTATTTAAAGGGGTAAGTTTATTGCAGATAATCACTTGGTTATTATTTGTGATTTGATGTTATTAGAACTGTTTAATATTGTTAATTATTCTTTTATGTAATCTTATGAATTAGGTTTTTGTCTTCTTCTGGTTATTCTAATGTGTCATTTGATACTGATGTATTGACAACATTACTGTTTTGCCCTATGAATATTTCTGTGTTTGAGATATTTACTTGCAAAAGTCCTGCCCAGGCACTAGTTTATTAATTTTTGAAATCTGTAGACCTTGTGTTGTGATTAATAAAGTTACATATTTTTTACCTTACCTGGAAGACACTTGGTTGTTTGGTAGGTTACAGACTTTTATTCAATATTTCTGTAAATACAATCCAAAATTCCATCTGCCATACCACTAGCAACAGCACATTGCTTGGATGGCTAAAAAAACTGATCAACTAACATGCCAAGATCCACTTCATCCATAATACTGTTAAGGTTATTCCCAACAAAATTATACTTTTAATTTAAATGTCATATTCCAGTTACCTGCCCAACTCATCGACCGATATAAATCTTTTTGTAAAACAGAACCATTCTCCTGAAAGCCAAAAATATCTAAGACTTTGATACCATCAAAACATTTTACCAATTGATTGACCCTTCCTATTCAGTGCTTTGTTATTATTTATCAACAGGATATAAAGCGGGAACTGTTTTTCACTGTCCCATAGGCTACTTGGTACCTACATTTTTAGCTGCCCTACTAAAGAGAAGTCTACTTTTTTTCTTTTATATAGGCTTAAGCCTTTGTTATAGACTGGGAGTTTTTAGAATAGGCATAGCATCTGGCTTACACTTAGTGTTTGCAACTGAAATTGTTGCAAAGTTTCAGAATATGCATCTATTATTGGAATTCAGGAAAAATGAGTTTCTTTCATCTCTCAAAGTGTAAAATTGTGTGTTTATGATTTTCAGATAATTTTTTTCACACTTTGCCATTATAATTGGACACTACTATTATGTTCTTCAGAAATTATGAGATTGCCTCATTTTTCTCAAATACTTTAGAAACTTCACACACGAGAAGTGAGGTGAATTATCTGTGAATTATTATTGGTTACATGGAAAAAAATATTCAAAAAAGTCTAGAAAATAGGTTGATCCACCCCAATTATAAGAATTGGTCAGAATATTTCAAAAGAAAGGTGATTCTGAGAATTATCTAGGAGGTTATGAACATATATTTCAATAGAGAAAGTTAAGAGGTGGTTTGTAATCTTATTCAATGATCACATACTTGTCCCAAGTGAAGTTTTTTCAACAGAATCATGGAGTATTATATTTAGAGTTGGGCAATTAATGTAATTAATCAATATAATTTATTACCTATGGACATCAATTACACAGATTAATGTTGTTTAAAGTAATCAATTAAAATTTTGATTAAATCAATTAATGTCAGAAAAACAGTCAAATAATCAAAATTTGTGTTTTTGATTATTCCAACTATACAAGTCCTATGAGAATAATCAATTAGCTGAATGCAAACGAGAGCCCAAGATTAATCAATTATTAAATTTCACTAATCACCCAGCTTTAGTTGTACTATTTTTTACTGAAACCATCTGAAAAACTACAATAAAACCCAAGCCACAGTGAGGAATCAAAAAGTTTAAGGTTTAGAAAGAACAAACTAGGCTTTAGTTAATTAATAGTTTTATTTCTTTAACACGCTGATTACCTTATGAATTAAGTTGCCACCTGCAGTAGTGAAGGTCGGCACCTTACAGACAGATATAAAATTTTTACTTTTTATGCAGGGGCCTAATTAATAAAGTTTGTTGAAATTAAACTCTTAAGTATTTTCAGTTGTATTACAGATGTTGAAGTTAACTTGGATAAGTTGGTAAGCTGGAGAAATATTTAGCAAATGACATTATTGTAAGTGCAAGTAAATAATTTGAGTTACCATAATGTAGATCACATGTTTGATATAGATGGGAGCCAACTCAATAACGTGACAGCAGAAAAGGTTCTTGACATAGTGACTAACTCAGTCAAACCATCAAAACAGTGCTCTGTTGTTAGTAGCAAAGGTAATAGAATTTTAGGATGTATTGATAGATTTACTAAATAAAAATCAAGAATGATATCTTTCTCTTTATGCAAATCTCTTGTTAGGTCTCACTTTGTAGAGTTTTAGTCTTCCTATTTGAGAAGGGATACTGACATATCAGAAAGAGTTCAGAAGAGGGCTAGTAGAGCAAGAAGATGATGTAAGTTTAAGATTTAAAAAAGACAGGCTAGATTCCATTTCTTTTTTGTTCTAACAGGTTGATTGGCTTATGAAATGAGTTGCCACAGGCAGTAGTGGAGGGCAGCACTTTACAAGTTTAAAAGGGGAATTGATAAGTGACTCTTAAATTAAATTTTCCTCATGGGTGGCTGTGCAGGGATGACAAATGACCCCTTGCTGTCCATACATTCTTAAAATCAACTATTCCCAAATGCTTACTATAATTAGTAACTTTCAAAACATTTGATAATGTTCAGTAAACAAAAAACTATAAACTTTAATACCAAATAGAATTCAGGAAACACTTTCTCCATCTTTAAGGAAACTAGTTAGTCTGGAAAGTTTTCTTCTACTTTAACAACAAACATTGGTAAAAACATTTAAGCACTTTAGCAATCTTCCTTTTTTTTTCATGAGTAAGGTTTATTTGGAAATTGTTTAAGGACAAAACATCATATCTGTGACTCATCTTTAGCTTAAAAAAACATTGCATATTAATCTGACTTTCAAAGCGAAAATGCTTTCATACTCTAATTTAGTTTTCACTACAGCTATTTACTTGATAAAAACTTGGCATCTTTCATTCTGCTGTTGAATGTTCTGTTTTTTTATTTATTATTAGTCTTCAGTCAGAATATATTCCTCTTAAGTTAACCTGACAGACCAAAAAAAATGTTAAAAACTCTATAACATTATTCCTACTTATATTGACCACCCATTCTTTTTTTTAAAATATCATGCAGTTTCTGGAAGTGAGATTTCCTAAAAATTAGTACATAACTCCTACTAACAGTACAACTAGTTTCAATAAAAATATCCTATTAATTTTATCTGAAGCTAACTGAAACTCATTTAAAATCAGCTTGTTATTTTCTCTCTAACTTCTTGGAATTCATAATGAACAAGTAAAACTACAACTGTGAAGGCTCCATCACAAAAAAGCACGTAAACTGTGAATAAAAAAAAGTAATGATCATTAATTATGAACATTTTGCTAAATTATTAATAATGTTGATGGATTTATGCAAGTTTCCTCTATTTTTGAATGAAAATTTTAGAACTACTTTACTATACAAAATTCTTGACTAATATTATAATTTAAACAATACTTTCATTCATCATATAAAGATACGTTATAAATTTTAACAACTTGTTCAAAGTATTAAAAGTTTCCATTTCTATTTCCAGTGATGTAGGCTAAGCGTTTTTGTATACGTTAACCTTGGCAGATTTGGCTAGTTGTTATCTATATTGAGACAACTTTTTTTTACTAGTATAAGCAAGTACTAAAGTTATTACTAGTACTACTACTAGCAATAATAGCATAAAGGAGTAGTACTAGCAATACTTCTATTTAACTTTGAATTTAACTTTTAAGTTCAAGTTTCAGACCGAGTTTCAGTTTTATTTACATTTTAATGCACCAGCCACAAACAAAAACAAATAAACAAACAAAACAGAATATTCGGTCAGAGCATTGTGTTTGGAATGTGAAACTCGTCAACCCGGAACTTAAAATTAATTGAATAAGTACTGCTTCTAACAAAAATCCAAATATTTGATAATACAAGTCAATACCTCTACGCAGACAACAAGCGTACGGTAAAAGTCTGCTAACACCAACAGTCGACGCTGCCATTGCTAAAAAGAAGTACCGGTTCTATAAAAAGACTTTGTCACTAGAGGTCACTTTTCTAAGCAGAATCTACCTTCGCCTCAATGTGGATATGATGCATTTGAATGGCGTATGCAACTGTGTTTGTATGTTTGTTTGAAGGTAAGCAAAAAGCTACACCATGAGCTATCTCTGCTCTACCCACCACGGGTATCGAAACCCGGTTTCTAGCGTTGTAAGTCCGCAGACATGCCGCTGTGCTACTAGGGGGGGGGGAAGCTGTGTTTGTAAAACTTTGCATCATATATATATATATATAATTTAAACAATACATTCATTCATCATATTGTTACGTCTCCGTTTGTTAATTGATTTTTTCCGTAACTTCGTTCCGACGAAACTTAAGCGACACAAGCCTTTA